TTCTTCTTGGCTTCTAATCTCTTCGTCTCTCCGCAAGTGCCACTCCACCTGTATCTTTCTTCCAAGTGCAGCAACTTTAGGGTGTCCTAGGTTTATGAGTCAAGGTTTGTAAGTCCTTGAAATTTTGTGTTTTGTAATTTCTTCTTTTTAGTTTTATTGTAAAAGTTTGTTCTTCCCCTTCTTCTTCGTCGTTTCGGTGATTATCTCCCGTGCGGGCGAGGGGTATAGGCATCCCTAGATTTCTTGCCCACACCAATTCTTCAATCCCCCCTCTTTAACCTTGCGTACATCCCCTCCGCAGCATCAATAAATCTCCTCTTCTTAAGCTCTTATTTGTCTTTGCCATCTGCATTCTTCCATTCCACTGTAATCTTCCATTGCACAAATTAAGCTAAAAAGAACCAACAATAATCTTCACTTATGTGCCCCCATTTGCTATCATTATGATGGAAAATAATAATGATAACACAATAATATTATAGGGTCAAATGATGCCAAATTACAAAATCTATATAACTTGACCAGTTATATAAAATAATCAAAGCATAAATAAGGATATAAATAGTTGATTAAAATAGATTTGATAAAACGGTGGGGGCCAATAGATAATATGTGAATATAGAATACTTTACAGGAATAAAAATTTATGAATAAACAATAATAGTGTTTTGTTGAACAATTTGAGCATTGGTAAAAAAGAATGGTCAAGATTTACCAATAGTTAAATATGCTTAGCAATGATAATATAACAGTCTTCGGCCTCGTTTGATTAGGCTTATTTTCTCAGTTTCCATTTGAATAAGTTATAATCAGTTCGTGATATCTGTTTGGAAGACAAATTTATCCGTAATTACTTTTTATAAAACCACGTATTTTGGGCGGTTATGAAATTTATTCAGCGACTGCTTCTTCGTTTAAAAAACACGGTTTCCCTACCCAAATGTCCGAATTAACCCTCCACCTTCTCCCGTCGACCCACGAAACCACAAAATACCTCCTTCTTAAGCGGATCGCGAGCCAAATAAACTGCTGTTATTTTTTTAGCTCCTTCGATCCGAACTCCCCCGATTCCTCTCCATTTCGGACGGAAGAGCTCATCATCTCGACGTTGATCTCTTCAGCCGTCCTGTTGTGATTTTTCTGGCTATTCGACTTCGCTCCTTTTGCGACATTCCCTTCGTGTCCGATCGGAAGTTACGACATTTTGATCGGAAGCAAGAACTCAGGAGCTCGCTAGCTGTTAAAAAATATAAAATTGCGCGAGCAAAAAGATTTTACTTTGGAGACGATTTCTTCGCAGAGAGCGAGATGAGTCTGACAGTGCTTGCAGCTATAAACCTTTCCGTCAAGATTGAAAGAGCCGAGCCATCTCAGTAAAAACGAAGCCTACGTTTCTTCCTTGCGTACTAAGCCCTACTGCCCCCTCAGTGCCCTCGCGTTTCTTAGATCATAGTTAACTGATGAAGTAGAAATCGCAGTAAAAAGTGGAAAGACGACGAGGTGGACGTCCGGAAGGAATATGCTTGAGATTAGAAATATTATATTCCAAACAAAATTTTAAAACGGAACATTATAAATATTAATTTATGAAATTCAAAAAAATCTTTTAAATTTATATATTATGCATAACTTGAGATATTCATAATTTTAATTTACCCGATAAAATTTAATAATATTATAATCAAAATACTCATACAATCAATATCTATTATATACATGAAGTTACATGATTAAAGTGCAGCAAATTATGAGAAGATACATTTTTAGTGGATTCGGGAGAGATAAAATCCTTAGAAATCAAAACTATCAAAAATAAGAGTAAAAGTACACTTACTTATAATGAGTATAACAACTTTTGTAACAAGAACAATGAATGTAAAAGCCCCGGAGAGCTTTCTCTCTCTTCTCTCTTCTCTCTCCTTTATAATTTCCTGGATTAGGAAGAGATAAAATCCTTAGAAATCAAAACTATCAAAAATAAGAGTAAAAGTAAAGTTACTTACAACAACTTTTGTAACAATAACAATGAATGTAAAAGCCCTCGAGAGCTTTCTCTCTCTTCTCTCTCCTTTATAATTTCCCTCTTCATTCTCTTCTTCTTCTCCTTCCTTTCCTTCTCGGCCAAGTAAAAAGAAAAAAGGGAGGGTGGTGGGTGGTAGGGTTATTTAATATAAAAAATATTAAAAAAATAATTTTTAGTGCCCAACACCACAACGCTTCTTGCTATTCCCATAGTTACTATAGAATAGAGTCTTCAATGCATCGACGACATTTTCTGATGCCGCAATGTAGCTTCCTGCTCAATCATAATTTTATATTTTCAAATAAATGCATTTTAAACTTTTCAGTTATTACAGGCAATCTAACAACTGTCACCCATCTAAGTCCCTCCAATAACTATTGTCTGCCCATGTCTCTTCAACAATCATCACCTCACTACCTTCATCAAACTGAAGTTGCCAACCTGTAGTCCTCAAACCAATATCGTCCAACTATCAGTTAACCAATGTTATATAACTACGATCATTTAGCCACCATCACCTGAATATGATCATGCAATCTCCATCGCCCTACTACTTTCTCTCGCCCACCGTTGCCCAACGTCAATTATCCAATCTCTATCACTTAATTTTAATCCTCCAACTACATTGGCACCCAATAGTGTAGATAAAATCATACTCTCATGGTACTTAAGAAAACATGCACAAATATTGCAGGAAGCACCCCAACTTAACCAGAAATTCCGGACCCTCCACATAAGAGTGCATGGGGTATTCAATATATTCTATAATAAAAAATTTCAAATATAAATCATAAATGTACTACATTTTCAACCTTTCATATTTTGGTAATTCATTGCCAAGTTGAAATAACTCGGCCAATATATCTTAGAATTCATAATCAAGCAAATTCATTTGGTTGGCATTTAAGAATTTGTTTGAAATAACTATAATTTTTTCTGAAATAATTATAATTTTTTATCCTAAACCCTAAACCCTAAACTACTTAAAAGGTGAAAGCTTCAATTCATTTCAGATGATTCATGATTTTCTATTTTTATCCTTAGGATTTTAAAATCTATTTTAACAATCATAATTTTATTTTCTCAAAAACAAATTTTCTATAACAACTTTTGAGGAAAAAATTGTACTTTTTTTTGGGGCATCCAAGAGATATTTTATTTTTTCTACTCATGCCGAAAGAAAATATTATTCTTGATACGGCATCACAAAATTAGCTTGATCGGGCACAAATCTCGAGGCAAAAGCTAGTTGGAAACTTCAAAAATTAATTCTGAGAACACCCGAATTCCGATTTCAGCGAGCTTACAGTCAAACTGAGCGTCTCGGAAATACGAATCCAACGACACCAAATTCGACCCAATCCGCTGATTGCGTGCCGAATTTTCGTACAATGCTAAGACGATAAACTTTATATTTCTCTACCGCCGCGAATACTCTTGGACGCAACAATCCTAAAGGAAATTAGTTCATGCTATATCATGTTTTTAATCTTTAAAATGGTTGAAATAGATGAGAGTTAGAAACTTTTTTTTTTTGGGACATTTAGGCCAATTAAGGCAAACTCACACACACAACGCATACAAAAAGACTCGAACCCAATACCTCTTAGTTAGAAGCCTAAGCTCTCAAGTCTCAACCAATAAGTCAAGATGAGCTGTGTGAGAAGTAGAAACTAACAAAGGTTCAACGATTGTGGCCAAAAGGCCAAGGTTTGTCAGTAGTCGTGTTTAGCTTAGCTCACAATTGGCTGCGCTGCTTAAATAAAATTTTTTAAGCAAAATTTCTTTACAATTTTTTTTTAAAAATTTCAAATAAATTTTATTTCAAATTTACAAAATAATAAAGCATTGGCTGCGCTGCTTAAATAAAAAAATATATTTATTTTATCTAAATAGGCAGGCAATCATGTGATTGATATTAAGTGATGTCGCACCGAGTCGACACGGTCAACGAGTCATGATTCGCTTCTCTCCTTTTACTTGGCCTACAATTTTCTCAGCCAACTGGCTCGCAAATACAGCAACGAGCAAAACAAAACTGGCAAAACCATTCCCCTGATGGCGCAACGAATCGGTCTGTAGAGTATTGGTCTCCGAGTCGACTCAGTGTTTTACTCACTCGTTCTGGACTTTAGTCTCGGTTTCTCTATCCTGAAACAGGGCATCAAAGGGTCTAAAACGTGCCGCGTGTGCGTATCATCGGTTAGGAGCTTCTGTTGCGTGGGTCCCATTCGAGTGTAACTGGCAGTAGCCAGTATTCGCGCCGTTTCGTGTTCCGTGGAGCAAAGCCTGGATGCAAATTGAAACAGCTGTACCGGCTCTGCCGGTTGCCCTAATGCCGGCAAGGTCGTACTGTTGCTATTGTTCTGTATCTTTCGATCACAGCATTACGCCCTCTTCCTCCTCCCGCACTCGTCTCCTCTCTCCCTCTTTTCTGTTAGTGCTCGGAGGTTAGTCAAGTGATTTTAGCTTCCTGCCTGCTTCCGAGGTTTGCGTTTCTCCTGCTTTTGGTGTTTTTTTCTCAAAAATGTTTTACTCCTGTTTTCTGGGAGATCTGGACATTGATGATTTTGGTTTTTTGGGGATTCAGGGGAAGGAATCAGTAGTTTTTTTTTTTTTTTAAATAATAATTTGGTAATCTTGGTTAGATGTGCTATTTACTTTTTCATCAGTTTTACCAACAAAAAAAAAAAAACTTTTTCTTCAGTTCTTGACTGCTTGTTTTCTCTTTATCTCTGCTTAGGTTATTTTTTGGAGTTGCTACACTCTTTTGAGGTTGAGCATCCTTTAAAATGTTGTACTCTTGTTCTTCGCGATATACTTTGGTCAAGGGTTATGATCGGGAATATTATTGTTTCTTCTAGATGAGATCGTATGTAAATGAGAGGGCTTTACCTATAAGTGGGATATATACTATGTCAACTCCTTGTTTCTGGAATTAACAAAATAGCATGTTATCTGGTATTGGTTTTTGATTCCGCAACTCTTAAAAAAAAAAAAAAAGAAGTTTTGACCTGTCAATTTGTTATTGTTATCAAATTTGATTAAGGTGCATGGTCCTTGGGGTGGAAGTATAAATTTCATGTTTTTCTCCATGGGCTATTGGCTTATGAGTTTACAGTCACTCTAGTTATATGAGCTGATGTTTTTTAGTTTTTTTTTGGATTGTTTACGGTCATATGTAGTCAAATTATGAAGTTACCTCCATTCAGAAGGACAGTCTGTTCTTATTTATTTATTTATTTATTGGATTGCCCGAATCATGACTTGGAGAAAAACTTATGTAACCAATGGGCATGAATCATTTGAAGTCTGTTCTTATTTATTGTGCTGGGTTTTTTGTGTTTGCTTCTTCAGTACACTCTTATGGTACCCAGTTTATAGGAGCCATAATTCTTGCACATGCATCATGCATGCCTTTCTGATCACTTTTTTCAATTTTCTCCTTTATTTTGGAACTTACTTAGTTTTTACCTTTCTATGACATCTCAGCCAAATAATTTCCTCTGAACCTCTTGATGGTAGGCATACTAATAGTTTTTCTACCATGGCAGGAATTTTTCCATCCCTAGAATGAAGGGAGGGAAGGGGAAGGCTTCAACCAAGAAAGAGACTCCAGAAGCACTAAAGCCAGCTGATGACAAGTTATCTTTTGTTTACTTAAACAATTCTTTCTATTTTCCTTTAGTGGTTGACTTATTGGTAATATTTATTCACGGCATATTCTAGAATTAGTTAACTGATGAATCAATTTGTATGCATTCGGATTGGTGAATGCTATCATTTGGTTCTGCTTCCATTAGCTACTGCCATCTTGCAATCCACGACATACTATTTTGATCACTGATCTATTAGATTGTTGTTACTAAAGAGGTATTTGACAAAAATGATTAAATTAACTTAGCATCCTGTGAAATATTTAGGCAATTATTTTATGTATTGTTTTATATAGGTTGTTTTTGATCTTTTGGAACCACTGCATTCATGGGATTTTCAGTATCACATGGATGATAATTTTGGTACTGGTATATGTGTAGTAGTCTACCAAGCGAAGCTGTGAATTTAAGGTCATGTAAGGTCTAATATAACTAGTAAATGACAGATGATATTTTTGGATACATCCCTATTGCTGTTATCACAGTGTTTTATTAATGCTATTTAATGTTGTGAAAAAAGAAAAAGAAATGATATTCTATTGGGAAAGCATATTTCTTATGATTAATTTTTCCAAATACTTCAAGTCATTTATTTTTATACCCTTTTATTTATTTCAGAAGAGTTGGGAAACGCAAAGCTGCTGTGAAGGCTGATAAGACTAGCAAAAGTAAGGGCAAAAAGGATACGAAGGCAAAGAAGGACCCTAACAAGCCAAAAAGGCCTCCTAGCGCTTTCTTTGTTTTCCTGTAAGCAAATTCATCGATGCTTTTCATATTTATTTGTGGTTATTACCTCTCAGGCATGATTGGTTTTATAAATTTAAGAATGTGATGGTGGATTTGCATTACAAAACTGCAGTGAAGAGTTCAGGGAGATTTACAAGCGAGAGCATCCAAATGTGAAAGCTGTGTCAGTTGTAAGAAGGGATCCACGCTAAATCCCATCTTTGATAAATCTTTTAATTTGCATCCACTTTATAATGACTAATTTTTTCTTCGATATAACTTGATATAACTTTGTCTTTTAATCTGAAGGTTGGTAAGGCTGGAGGCGAGAAATGGAAATCACTGACTCGTGCTGTATGTATATTATGTTCTTAAATAACTTGGAATACTGCTATATGCTACCTGCTACAAAGTTCATGATTTGCTGACTAAGGCTTTGTTTGTGATGGCTTTCTTACTGCTTCTTAAAGTAGCTTTCAAGTACAAAAATTAAAAAAAATTTGAACTTAGAAAATTGTTTTAAGAAGCCGTAAGAAAAAATTTGTACTAAAAGTTGTTTTAAGAAACAGTAAGAAAGCCATCCCAAATGAAACCTAACTTAAGATTTGTTTCTTTAGAAATCCAAGCCCTGTGGTTTTTTAGTCCTTGTGTTTTTTTTATTCTACTCATAGTTACACTTCACTAGATATACTATTGTTTTTATGTTTTTATGCATCTTACAAATTATAATATTCATTTGTTTCAATGTCATAGCAGTACATAACCATTGATTTTTGACAGAATATTTTGTCTCGTAATGTTTTGCTTTTACTCTTTCCTTACTTTTGAGGACAGAGAAAAAATTCCCACTAACTTTTTAGGATGCTCCATTTTGTTTTAATCTTGACCTGCTGCTTGTGATTTGCTCAGGAAAAGGCTCCCTATGAAGCTAAAGCTGCAAAAAGGAAGAACGAATATGAAAAGCTGATATCAGCTTACAATAAGAAGCAGGTGATTGATGATTTGATAAGTTTCATTTCATGCTATCTGGAAGTTATTCTTCTTTACTTCATTTATTGGTTTTCATTCCTTTTTATTTTAATTGTAGGAAAGCAATGTTGATGATGGTGATGAGGAGTCTGATAGGTCAAAGTCTGAAGTTAATGATGAAGATGAGGAGGAAAGTGGAGAGGTTAGGCTTTGTGTTCCAATATTTATATTATGATGACCCGGTTAAGAAAATAGAGGTATTAGATTTGACTTATGTTAAGAAAGATAGAAGTAAACCTAAAAAGACTTGGTTAAAAATATTAGAAATGATCTTTCTTTATTGGATTTAAACGAGAATTTGACTTTTAACAGGTCACAATGGAGAAAAAGGATTCATATAGCCGACCCCACATAGGGACAATGGCTTAATGTTGTTGTTGTTGTTGATAATGAATATTTTTTGGAAGTTTATTTTGGAAGAATTTGGGGACATCTTTATATATCATTAGATATGCAAATGCCGGTTGATTCACTGGATCAGTAGTTTGCTGTTTGAATATGAGTTTTAATATCTTTTAGTGAGGAAGACATGAGCATGCTAAGCATTGATGGAGGCAGTGTTTTTTATTAATTAATTGGTTTATATATATATTCTATACAATTGTGCTTAAATTATTGCAGGGATATTAAGAGCCTAACCTTTTCATCGTGAGATTATTTTCTTTGCTTTTACCTTCAAAGGAGTACAAATTATATGTTTAAGTAACTTTAATATTTCTGTTGTTTGGTATTTGTAGGATGAAGATGATGAGGATGACAATGAGGATGAGGACTAAAGCTTATAACTTTAAGTTTAGGGTCGGTTATTTGAATCCTGCATTGAAACTGCTTTCTGTATGGCCATGCTAGAGGCATTAAGTAATTGTCTTTTGATATGTTTAATGTTGCAACCTTTATGTCTGTTACTACTTTGATCCTAAGTATTAATATATTTGTTGGCCAAGTGCTTTCTGTAGCATATCTAATTGTGTGTTCGGCTTAAGATTTTCTTATCAGCTCACTTTTCTGTTCAGCTTTGGGCATACAAATTTCTATTTGCTTGCGCATGCAACACCATATCACAGTTTTTTCAGCCTGTTGAATATATTTTTTTTATTTGCAACAAATTTGTATGCGTTATCATATCTCTTTCTTGCAAGAACCGGCGTTAAATGTTTTAGAAATACAACATTTTTTTTTGCAACATTTAGGGCGGATTCACACACATGATATACACAAGACTTGAATTCAAGACCTTTTAGTTGGTAGCCTAGTTCTCAACCAACATATCAAGACGAGTTGTGTTAAATACAACATTGTTCTTGCAATTTAAAATTTGTTTTTATATTATTTAAATATTTTTTGTTATTAAAAGTTTGTTCAGGTTGTAAAGTTAGATTGTTTATATTGCAAAGATTGTAAAGTTATTCAGAGTAAAAATTTATGTACATAATATTAATTATTAATTTTGGACTTTAAGATAAATGATATAAAATAAAAAATAAATTAAAATAATATTTTAGGATTATATGGGGACATTTAAAGAATATTAACAAAATATTTTTTAGAGTAATATTTTAGATATTACGAGTTTGTATGTGCATGAGATTGATAATGTTATGTGGAAAAAGTGACTAATGGTATTAAGAATATTGTAAAAAGAAGTGTTTGGAGTATCAAAGGAAAAAAAGCTCATAATAGTAAAAATAGTTGTGGTGGAATCGAAATGTGTAAGAAATAAATTGTTATAAAAATTGGTTTAATTATAAAAATTATGATGTAGTGGGATAAATGCTTGATGTTGTTGTTGTATTTTAGATATTAGGAGTTTGTATGTGCATGAGATTGATAATGTTATGTGGGAAAAAAGTGACTAGTGGTATTAAGAATATTGTAAAAAGATGTGTTTGGAGTATCAAAAGAAAAAAGCTCATAATAGTAAAAATAGTTGTGGTGGAATCGAAATGTGTAAGAAATGATTAACAATAAGAAGAATTGTTATAAAAATTGGTTTAATTATAAAAATTATGATAATTGAGAAAAAAATTAAAGATGTTCTAAAGAATCTAAGAAAATAATATGCGATGCAAAGATTGTATCCTTTAGTGATTTATATAATTTATTAGATACTAAGAAGGGAGAAAGATATATGTATAAGCTAGCCAAACAAAGAAATATGAGTAGTAAGGATTTAGTTCATATGAAGTGTAATAAGGATGAAGATCAAAAAATATTTTTCTTAAAAGATGATATTCAATAAAGGTGGATGAGATATTTTGCTAAATTTTTTAAAGAAGATTGTGAAAATAAGATTGACTGTAGTAACCTTAGCACCCCAAATGGAAATACAGATTTATGTTTTTATCGGCATAATAGTAAAACCGAAGTTATAGAGGCTTTAAAGAAAATGAAGGTTGGAAAAGTTGTTGGACTTGTTGATATTCCAATAGAGGTGTGGGAATGCTTAGGATATGAAGGAATTTTTTGACTTACTAAACTTTTTTAATACTATTTTGAAGATTAAAAAGATGGCAGATGAGTGGAGAATGTGTGTTAATTCCTATTTTTAAGAATAAAGATGATACACAAGATTGTGTGAATTATAGAGAAATTAAATTAATGTGTCATATTTTAAAATTATGGGAGCAAGTTATGGAGCATAAGTTGCAACATGATACTAATGTTTCTCAAAATCAATTTGGATTCATGCCTGGTAGGTCAATTATGGAAGCCATACATTTATTAAAATGTTTGATGGAGAAATATAAAGAAAATAAGGATGATATACAAATTATATTTATTGATTTAGAAAAAGCATATGATAAAATTCCAAGAGAAGTGCTATGGAGTGTTCTTGAAAAGAAAGGAGTTAATAACATTTATATTCAAATCATTAAAGTTGTGTTTGCAAGAGCTACTATTTGTGTTCAAAACAAGGTGTTTTGACCAAGTATTTCCCTATTTCGGTTGGGTTACATCAAGGATCAGCCTTAAGCCCATATATTTTCGCTTTAGTCATGGATGTTCTAACTAGACATTTGCAAGAGAATGTACCTTGGTGTATGCTTTTTGCCGATGATATTTTTCTTATTGATAAGACTAGAGAGGGAGTTGAGGGTAAACTTGAATTATGTAGGCAACCTTAGTGTCTAAAGGTTTTTGCTTGAGTGGATCTAAAATGAAATATATGAAGCATAATTTTAGTAGTAATAGACCTAATGAGGGGATTGTGACTTTGGGCGATCAAGTCATTAATAAGAGTACACACTTTAGATATTTTAGATCTATTGTATAGAGAGATGGTGAAATAGATGGAGATATTATCAGTAAAATTAAAGTTGGATGGTTGAAGTGGAGGAATGCATCGGGCTTGTTGTGTGATAGAAAAGTCCCCTCAAACTTAAGGGAAAATTCTATAAGATGGTGGTGAGGCCTGCAATGCTTTATGGTGTCTAATGTTGGCCATTAAAAGTGAAGCATAATATAATACTAAGTTAAGTGTGATAGAGATGAGGATGCGTAGGTGGATGAGTGGCTTTACCCTTAGTGATATGATACAAAATAAGCATATACGTGAAAAGGTTGCAGTAGCTCTAATAGAAGATAATACTAGAAAGAGTTGCCTTACATGGTTTGGTCACATAAAACGGGGACCTTCCGATGACACGGTTAGGAAAATAGAGGTATTAGATTTGACTTATGTTAAGAAAGGTAGAGGCAGACCTAAAAAGACTTGGTTAAAAAATATTAAAAATTATCTCACTTTATTAGACTTAAACGAAAATTTGACTTTTAATAGAGCACAATGGAGAAAAAAAGATTTATGTAGCTGATCCCACATAGCGGGATAAAGACTTGATGATGTTGTTGTTGTATTAAAAGTTTGCACATATTTTATTATCTTAAAAGAAAATCAACAAATAATACGGCATGAAGGGTTTATTATTATTTATTTTAACAATAATAATTTGATGCCATGTAGCATAAATTTGATCTCCCTCATTTAATTTAATTTATATTTGAGAAACATTACTTTTTTCTTATGAAATTATAATTTCTTATACGATGCTTAGTTGATTAGTCGCTAAGATTAGGAAGCTAGTTATTAATTATCTATACAAGATTTTTTATGAAAGCAAAGCCAATTTTAATTAATTATGTCACTATAATTAGAACGCTGCAGATAGATTGAAAATAATAGCGAAAAAATCGATAGCAAAACAAAGTTTTTATGAAAACTAGAAAGACTTTATTACATGATTCTTACATTTTCATATATAGTGAAAATATGTTAAGCCCAAAACTTTTTTATTGGAACGAAAATTAAAATCAAAGCTAATAGTCTCCTATTACTGATTAGTACTGCACACACTAATCGGGCAAGTAGACCACACAGTGTGGCCATTACTGAGGTCTCTAATCCCAATGTAGCAGTCTCCATTAGGGGTGCAATCGAGTCAAGCCGGCTCGCGAGCCGGCTCGGCCCCGGATTCTCGTCAAGCATGGAGAAAGGTTTTCGCAAGCAATGGAACAGCTAAACGGAGCTGTATGCTCCCTGGGTTTGTCTATTGATAAAGTTTTTGTAAAAGTAAAACTGAGTACATTTTCCTATACCCTTTCTCCTATATGTAATATCTTTTGCTAAAAGAAAATACTATAAAAGAAATTGCAGAAAGCAAAACAAACTATTGCAGCAGATAACTAAAATGGTAAATGGGGTAGTGGAAGGCATATCTGGTTGTTAGGCCGGTATGCCGTTCCGCAGGTACAATATGAGATGGGTTGCATCAGTCCTCCCCCAGTTCCGAAGAGCTCGACTCCGACGAGCTAGTAGCGATAGCGCCATCGTCAGGAGGGTTATAGGCCCAGATATCAGAAACATTGAAGGTCGGAGAGGTGTTGCAATTTTCAGGCAGAGCAACTGAATAAGCATTGTCATTGATCTTTGCGGTAATGGGAATGGGGCCGATCTTGCGGCGAGATAATTTGGAGTAGGTGCCTGGTGGAAAACGTTCTCGACGCATCCTGACCATAACAAGATCACCCACCTTAAACAATCGTTGGCGTCGGTGCTTATCAACGGCTGATTTATACCGCAGATTGGACTGAGTTATTTGACGCCGCACCTCCTCTAACATATCTGCATACTGTTCCGTGAATGTAGTGGCAGCATTGGATTTACACTTGGGTAATATAGCTAAGTCAAGAGCTGTATTGGGCGGCTTGGTGTAAACTATGCTGAAGGGTGTCTTCCCCGTGGTTATGTTAGTCATAGAGTTATAAGCAAACTCTGCTTTACTCAAAACCTCTTCCCATCGTCGCGGATGTTTTTGGACCAAGCATCGGAGCATATTGCCCAGTGTCCGATTGACAACTTCAGTCTGACCATCGGATTGAGGGTGATACGCCGAGCTAAGACGTATTTCTGTGCCAAGCCTTTTCCACATTTCTCTCCAAAAGTGGCTTATAAATTTAACGTCACGATCCGACGTCAAACTGCGTGGAACTCCATGTAGACGAACCACCTCCTAAAAGAAAATATTAGCAACGACGAGTGCGTTGGAAGTCTTTTTACAAGAGAGAAAATGAGCCATTTTTGAAAATCTGTCTACCACAACCATAATAGAATCATTACCTTTCTTTGTTCTCGGCAATCCCAAAACAAAATCCAGACTAAGATCTAACCAAATCGAGTCCGGAACGGGCAATGGCGTGTAAAGGCCTGTATTTTGTGCAGTTCCTTTGTAAACTTGACAAACCGTGCAGCTCTCGATTACTCGAGCTACGTCGCGATGAAGTCGAGGCCAAAAGAATCAGGATTGTAATTGTCGTAGCGTGTTGTCCCTGCCTGCGTGAGCTGCCATCGCGCCACCATGAGCTTCCTGAATGAGATATTGCCGCCAAGATGAAACTGGAATGCATAAAAGATTTTTCTTAAACAGATATCCATGCCGAATGGAGTAGTCGTCGACGGGAGCCTGGTCTTTGCATTGATCTCATACTGTGCCAAAATCTGGATCGGTGCTATATAGATCTTTGAGACATTCCAATGCTGTAATTTCTGTCTGTAGAGTGACTAACAGGTTCCGTTTTCTGCTCAATGCGTCAGCCACCTTATTTTCAGATCCCGGTTTGTGTTTAATGGTAAATGAAAACTTTTGTAAGAACATTAGCCATCTCGCGTGCATACGGTTAATTGACTTTTGGCTATTAATGTATTGTAGAGCCTTGTTATCACTACAGAGAATAAATTCCTGGTGAAGTAAATACTGCTCCCACTGTTTCAAGGCTCGTATAACCGCGTATAGTTCTTGTTCATATGCAGCCCATTTTTGCCTGGAGTCACATAGTTTTTCGCTGAAGAAAGCTATCGGTTTCCCTTCTTGTGATAATACGGCTCCGACACCGATCGCCGAAGCATCGGTGTCCACAGTAAATAACTTACCAAAATCTGGTAAGGCGAGGATGGGAGCTGAACTGAGAAGATTTTTGATGGCACTAAAACTCTCTTGCTGTTCATCTCCCCATTTGAATACTTTAGCTTTCAAACATTCAGTTATGGGAGCCATGACAAGGCTAAAATTTCTGATAAACTTGCGATAAAAGTTAGCTAGGCCATGGAAGCTGCGAACTTCAAAGAAGGATTGTGGAGTAGGCCATTCGGTGATCGCCTTTACCTTTTTAACATCCATTTGTATACCTTCGGCAGATATCACAAACCCGAGAAAATGCACTGTTGGAACACCCCACTCACATTTGAGAGTGTTTATAATGAGTTTTTGATCCTATAAAGTTCCGAATAAGATGGCCAAATGCTCCAAATGTTGTTGCCAGTTGTTGCTGTACACTAAAATATCGTCAAAGTAGACGATACAAAACTTGCCCAAAAACGGTTTCAACACCTCATTCATCATTCGCAAGAAGGTAGAGGGCGCATTACACAAGCCAAATGACATTACTTTCCACTCAAACAATCCATGTGGAGTTTTAAAAGCCGTCTTCCATTCATCTCCGGGACGAATATGGATTTGATGGTATCCTCTGCGTAGATCTATCTTGGAAAAAATGGAAGCCCGGACAAGTGATCAAGTAATTCATCCACACGAGGAACAGGGAAACGATATTTAATTGTTATTTTATTGATGGCCCTGCTGTCGATGCACATGCGCCAACTGCCGTCTTTTTTTGGGACCAGTAGTGCGGGAACTGCGCAAGGGCTCACACTAGCTTGAATCAGTTGTTTATCTAATAATTTATCCATCAGTTCATGTAAAATCTGCTGTTCCTTAGGATTGAGGCGGTAATGTGGTAAATTTGGCAGACTAGACCCCGGCACAAGATCAATTCGGTGTTGAATAGTACGTAGTGGTGGGAGCTCAGACGGCAAATCTTCTGGCGTTATACTGGAGTACTGTTGTAATAGTTTTTCGATTTCTTTTGGGCATTGACGAACATCATGAGGAAGTGGCTTCTCTGTAATCAGCAAGGCATAAATCGGGGCAGGGTCTTTCCAGCATTGTACCAAGGCGGATCCAGATACAATATGAAGTGCGTTTTGGCTTGACGTTCCAGCGTGACTGTCGACTTGGTTGGGTAACAACCTCAATTTTCTTCCTTTATACTCCAGGGCGTATACATTAGCGCGACAGTCATACATAGCCCCCGCATCGAATTGCCATGGCCTCCCTAAAATAAGGTGGCAGACGTCCATTTCGACGACGTCACAAACTACTTCGCAAACATAGTTTCTCCCTATCGAGAAAGTTAGCCTGCAAGAATCAGTCACCGCTATTTCAACTCCCCTCTTGACCCAACTTATTTTGTAAGTGTTGGTCCTCTTGGTTGTTTTCAGCTGCAAACTTTGTACTTTTGATTTGGATACGACATTCTCTGTGCATCCGCTATCGACAAGGAGGTCGCACACCTTTCCCAGGATGGTACATCTAGTCCGAAAAAGTGCGTGTCTCTGGGATTTCAAGTTACTCCGAGGGGCTAGTAGTAATCTCTCGAGCATTGTAATCACTGGCTCGCCATCATCATCATAGACATCCTCAGTCCCTTCCTCGCAATCGGATTCAACCTCGGCAGATCGGTCTTCATCTCCTGGCTCCGCAAAGTGTGCTTGTTGCCGTTGGGGACATTCGTTGGATTTATGACCTGGTTGAAAACAACGGAAACACTTGATAGTGGATGGTTTAGCATAAGGATTATCCTTACCTGAAATTCTTGGTTTCAGCTGTGTCTTGTGTTCCGGTACTTCATTCGGTGGAGGGGTGGAATTGTTAGTTGTAACACGTGACTGAGCTGATTTTCCCAGGGGGGCGGCCCTTTGTTATGACTAGACCCTTGTTCTTGCCAATACTTACGGCTGTGAGTTATTCTAGATTGTCGGCTGTGTTGTAGCTCCGCCTTCATAGCAAAGTTCACGGCCTGGGCTAGTGACCAAACAGAATTCAGCTCTAATTTATCCTGGATGCTCTCCTTAAGGCCACCGATGTAGCGTGCCACTAGCTGATTTGCCTACTCATTAAGTTGTTTCTGGCACTTAACCTATTGAACTCCTCTGTATATTCACTTACGGATCGGGATCCTTGAACACAGTGTTGATAGCGGATGTAGAGGATTTGTTCAAAATCTGTAGGCAAGAATTGGGTACATAATAACTGTTTCATACGATTCCAATTGCAAACCGGGCCTTTCCCTTCACGTTGTCGCTGCTGCAACGTCTGTGCCCACCAAGCGCTGGCTCCCCCTTTCAATCTACAAGCGACATATTTCACTTGTTTGCTGGATTCAATTTCCATGTAATCAAAAAAGTTCTCGACGGATTTTTCCCAATCAAGATAGTCTTCGATGTGTAAATGTCCGTAAAAAAAGGGAATGTCTAATTTCACCTTGAATTCGTTTTGACGGTAAGTAGCCATCGGCCGGTTGCGCCTCCAGTTCGCGGGATAATAGGTATTGTCAATTTCTTCTTCCCCTGAATCCGCAGCCGCAGCCGCCGCGTCTCTGTAAGATTGTATCTCATCCTCTGAATCAGAGATTTCTTGTAACAGTGGTTGATGTCGCCAATGTCTGGCTGCAATCATTCCTCGTCTCCCGCCGGGCCTTAGTGGTGCCGTTTGTGGTAGCTCTTCACGCGGATTCCGCTGATGGTATGGTCTCGCCTTGATGAGATTGAACTTGCGGCGCATTTCGATCGTCAGTCGCTGCACTTCGGTGGCGAGCTCGTCGATTCGACGATTGACGTTCTCCTGGTTTGCCCACAGTGAATCGAGACTCCGCGATTCTTCGGATACAGGTGCCTTTCCGCGATCCGCCATCTCCACGTTCGCTCTCCGTAGCTCTGATACCAAACTATGATGTCGCCCCGGATTCTCGTCAAGCCTGGAGAAAGGTTTTCGCAAGCAATGGAACAGCTAAACAGAGCTGTATGCTCCCTGGGTTTGTCTATTGATAAAGTTTTTGTAAAAGTAAAACTGAGTACATTTTCCTATACCCTTTCTCCTATATGTAATATCTTTTGCTAAAAGAAAATACTATAAAAGAAATTGCAGAAAGCAAAACAAACTATTGCAGCAGATAACTAAAATGGTAAATGGGGTAGTGGAAGGCGTATCTGGTTGTTAGGCCGGTATGCCGTTCCGCAGGTACAATATGAGATGGGCTGCATCAGAGCAGTATAAGTATAGTAAAAGCGCAATGGTGAACAATAACTAATATTTTTATTGTTCACAGTCACAAAACCGAATAATTCTCTACGTTCATACTCTGCACGTAATAATCTCTCCAAGAAGAGCAGTCGTATTTAAAAGTCTATAAGGACAAAGCCATTAAATTAGGAAAAACAAATAAATAGCTGTAGAGGAGAGGAATCCAAGGCAAACCTATTATTATATATCACAATCATTCTCTTCAAAAGAATTTAAAAAAAAAAAGAAAAATTTTCATTCATGAACATTCCTTCTCTCATCCATAAGTTAATATAAAGTGTATTAGGACCGTAAGTGTATTAGATCTGACCTATGTTAAGAAATGTGGAGATAGACATAAAAAGTTAATCTCTATCTAATTTTAATTTATTGGTTTTGTTTGAGACAATTTTCTTACTGTTTGTTTTTTATATCATAATTATAATTTTTATTTGACAATTTTTTTTTTACTATTTTCAATAAATTTTTGTGCTAGGAAGTTAACTTTTCTATAATAATTTAACCATCAACTTTATAAAAAGTTGAAGCAGTCCCAAACGGACCGTCAATCTTATTTAAGAACTCTGTGGGAGCCTTAAATGATAGGCAAGGTGAGAAATTTTGAAA